ACCCCACATTTCTTCTGAGGTACCTCTGGGTAGACCTGAAGCTCCCACATTTCAGTTAGAAGCCAAGTGCCTTAACTGTTTGCATCACCCAGAAATTCCCTGACACCCCAATTTTATAATTCTGTCAGAGAATGCCTTACATTGTGCGACTTCAGGGTTTTCAAAGCATTTGCACATTCATTATCTCATTTCACCTCCCCAACAACCTGGGAAGTAGACAGAACAGGTTAGACTGGTGAGGAATATGAGGCTCAAAGAGTCCATGTGATGTGACCATTCCAAAGAAAGGTGATTCAACAGAAATTATTGAACAATATCATTAATATTACTCACAAAATTTTGCTGATGATAATTCAAAAATGGTTGCAGCAGCATATTGGCAAGGAACCGCCAGAAATTCAAGCCAAATTCAGAAGAAGGCAAGGGGTATCATGGTTGATGTCAGATGGTTCTTGGCTGAAAGCAAATACCAGAAAGATGTTTACCTGTCTTTTATTGATTATGCAGAGGCATTCAGCTTTGTGGATTATGACAAATTATGGATAATGTGGCAAAGAACGGGACTTCCAGAACACTTCATTATGTTCACAAGGAACCTGTACAAAGACCAAGAGGCAGTTGTTCGAACAGAACAAGGGGGGTATGACATGATTTAAAGTCAGGAAAGGTGTGTGTCAGGATTGTATCCTTTCACCATACTTACTTAACCTGTATGCTGATCAAATAACCTGAGAAGCTGGACTATGTGAAGAAGAACCCAGCATCAAGATTGGAGGAAGGGTCATTAACAACCTGTGATAATGCAGATGATACAACATGTGTAAGTGAAGAAGACTTGAAGCACTTACTGATGAAGATCAAAGACTACATCCTTCAGTATGGATTACACCTCAATATAAAGAAAACAAAAATTCTTTCAACTGCACCAATAAGCAACAACATGATAAATGGAGAAAAGATTGAAATTGTCAAGGATTTAATTTTACTTGGATCCACAATCAATGCTCATGGAAGCATCAATCAGGAAATCCAACAACATATTTCATTGGGAAAATCTGCTGCAAAAGACCTCTTTAAAGTGCTCAAGAGCAAAGATACCACTTTGAAGACTAAGGTGTGCCTGACCCAAACCATGGTATTTTCAATAACCTCATATGCATGTCAGAGCTGGACAGTGAATAAGGAAGACCACAGAAGAACTGATGCATTTAAATTGTGGTGCTGGCAAAGACTATTGAATACCATGGACTGCTAGAATGAACAAGTCTGTCAGCCAGAATGCTTCTTAGAAGCAAGAATGGCCAGAGGTCATCTCCTATACATTTGTTAGAAGGGACCAGTCCCTGGAAAAGGGTATCATGCTGGCTAAAATCACAGATCAGCAAAAAACAGAAAGACCTTCAACAGGACAGATTGACACAATGGCTGTGACAGTGGGCTCAAGCATGGCAACAGTTGTAAGGACGGTGCATGACTGAGTGTTACACATAGGATTGCTGAGTTGGAGCCAATTCAACAGCACTTAGCAAACACTTGATATTTAACATATGTATGTAATGATGTTAGGGCGAACACCTAGGTACAGCAAGGTTCTAGTACTTTTAAATATTATAGCCCAGAAGTTGATCCTTCTAAATGCTTCCTAAAACACTGCTATGCAGATCTCCTTAGTTGATAATAGAGGTTTCTTTTATAATTTTCAGACATGATGACCGGATTTGGAAAACTATAACTAAATAAACCTTATCTTATAAATGAGGAAATGGAAGCTGTTAAGATAAATTATCTAACACTTGTAAGTAAGGCAAAAATGTCTGCTATGTCCTTTCAATGACACATGTGGGTGAAGGTTATCTTTGGGGCTTACATTAACTTTGTCCAAAGAGTTTGGTCTTTGTCCTTGGTTCCTGAGAGTGAGCCTCTAAAACCTTGAAATTTCCTATGCTTGAAATGTCTTTGATGAGGGCTCCAGACCACTCCTGAGATATGCTAATGCAGTGACTCAGGTGGGGGCTGGCCAGGACCAAAAGACCATCTCAGGGTATCAGCTGACGACAGGGGAGGGGGGCTCATTCAGCCAATCATGACTAATAAAGCCCTAATAAAGGCTCTATAGACAGTGATGCACCATGGGCCTTCTAGCTGGCAAAAGACATTGATACACGAGGGATGGTAGTGCATTCCTTTTTGGGACTTGGAAGCTTTGTATTGGGAACTCTCCCATACCTTGTCCTATGGGTCTCATTTGTCTCCTTTTGCAGTAATAAAACTGCAATCATAAGTATAGTACTGTTTGTGAATTGTGAGTCATTCTATTGAATTATCAAACTCATGGAAAAGTGGGAGTCAGCAGGTCAGAAGTGATGGGGGCTGGGGACCCCTGAACTCAAGGGTGCAGCAGTTAAGGTTGTGTGTCACCTTGGCAAGGCTGTAATTTTGAGGGACTTGGCAGCTGTGGTGGGATGAGATTGGATGTAGTGTAATCACTACCATGGTGCAATCTGCTGTGAGCAGTTACTCAGTTGAAGAGGAGTTGCTTTGGGGTGTGGTCTGCTTCCAGTATATATGGAACGGATCCTGCATCTGGCCCATTGTTGTATCCAGTCCTGGACTTGAACCTGCTGATCTTGAGATTGCTGCCTGTGCAGCCTGTGAGCCAATGATCTCCCCTTCTACCTTCATCAGCCCTTGCAGCCGCATGAGTCAGAAGCCTCCAGCTTTCAGAGGGCCTGGAAAGCAGAGCTCAAGCCCAAGGTTGAGGGGCCTCCATCTAGCTCCTAGGGCTAACACTCTGAACTTGAAGACTCCTAGCCTAGTCTTTCCCTGCAGCCAGCATGCTAAACTCGAACTTCTACCCTCACCTCCTCTAGAGCCGGCACTCTGAATTCAGACTTTCAGCCTTGTAAACTGTGAGAGTATACATTTCTATTTGTTAAAGCCACCCATCTGTAGCATTTCTGTCATAGCAGCACTAGAGAACTAGTAGATAAAAGGGGTAAAGGGAACCCCAAAATTTGCATCCAGCAAGTCATAAATGAGGCTGTTGCATAGACTCCCAAGCTTGTGGCTGGCACCTGAAGTCTTGGACAGACTTGGCAGTCTAGAGGACTGAGCCCTTTAATTGTGTGATCTGACCTAGCTCCAGGTAGTTAGGGTCAGAGGAGGAACTGCTGCATATGCAGCTAGTGTCAGAAGAGAAGTAGGAGTCAGAACTGATAACTGATTTGGATTGATCAACATCATTCAGTGTCTGAGAAGTAAGGATGTGATTTTCCCACTCACTACCTGAGGATTATCCACAGTACTTGCTGTTTATTGTTGATTAAAGATCTAAGACTTAGTGATGATACCCATTAACTTACAGACTTTGGTAGTTTCTACAAGACTCTAGAATTCACTTAGTCTGCTTCCTTTGTAGAGAATTGTAGGTAGAGGTATAAATTTCTGTCCAGTGGAACAGATAATCCCAAAGGTCATGGTTTAACCAGTTTTCTATCTCACCCACCAATCTTATTCTCCTATAAATACCCTAGCTTCCCAAAGGTCATGTCATATTACTGGTTACTGATAGATAGAAGCCTTGACTTAGGATTCTCATGTTATTTTTATGCTTTAATCCTAATACTTTTTCTCTCTAAAAATGAAATTGAGTAACAGGACAGTGATCACAACCCAGTTCTAGAACTGGGTAGACAAGACAGAACCACAAAAACACCTGAAGCTTACAGTTCCAAGAATACAGCTGAGCAATCACTGTCTTGACTGTTACTACCAAGACAGCCATGGTCTGCTCTCCCACAACAGAACTGCTGATAAACTTCCTGGCACCCAACTTAAACTTCCCAACTTCCCCAGTTTGAGGCTGATGCATTGTTGAGCTCAGCCTGTGTGCATGCAGATGCTTTAATAAACTTTCTTTCAAAACTCTACTGGCCTGATTTCTCTCTCCCAGCACTGAATCTTATAGGTAACTCATTACTTAGTTAAATGAATTCTTTACTATGTAGTTTTATTCCCAAACGATTCCACCCAGGTATGATTTTCCCCCGAGCAGAAAAATACCTGTTATGAATGTCCTTCTGGATTAACACTTGATTGCTGAGATTGTCAAAACCTACTTTTATTGTTCATAGCTCTCTTCCCCTGCGGCTTTCCCTGAGCTCTGAACACTGGCCTGAGAAGCTTTCACTGACCCTGTAGAGGTAGTACACCTTTCTCCACTTCAGGTCCAGGGTACAAATGAGGTCCATTTCCAACTGTCTTAAGAATTCATGGTCAAATCAGACTAAGTGCATATAGTTCTTATGTAGCTTTACTTTAAAAACCAAACTCACTGCTGTAGAGTCGGAGCCAACTCACAGCGACCCCTCCTTGGGCTTCCAAGGCAGTATCACTACGGAAGTAAATTGCCCAATCTTTAGTGCAAGATTTAAAAGCTATACATGCAGCAAGTGAAGGTAATTTTTTGAACAGGAACTGATTCAATCCTTTCAAAGTGAAAGCAAATTTGAGTAACATTAAAGGGCAAGTAGGTGCTACAGATATGTGTGGAAACAGCAAAGGTAAAATTAAAATTTGCTCATGAGACTTACTTCCTAGTCTTTTAAACACTGCTTTGGTTAGAACATTTTTGTAAGTAATTTGGGTGATCTGGAAAGGTTTTATGTTTTATAATTCTAATGTTATTTCAACTATAAATTCATCTATGAATGATTACTTCAAACTATTACATACCCTTTGTGAAAGTAAGAAAGTGATTTATCATATATATATTTGTAAACTTTTGTTTAGAACAGATTTTTTTTTACCTTTAACTTTTGTAAGTAAACTTGTTGTTGTTGTTGGTTATGTACCGTTGAGTTGGATCTGACTCATAGCGACCCCTTCTTGGGTTTCCGAGGCAGTATCACTACGGAAATAGATTGCCCCATCTTCTGGTTTGAACCACCAGCCTTCGGGTTAGCAGTCAAGTGCCTTAGCCACTATGCTACCAGAGCTCCCAGAAGTAAACTAGAGTCAGGTAAATAACAGAAAATGCAAATTATAACATTAGTCACAAGAGTGCCTAAAAAGAAAGGGTCAACAATCAAGTCAGTAGATCTTCAATAAAATGCACAGAACCCCAGTATAATAACAGCTCTTTATTTCATGGATTCAAATACACAGTAGACCAATCATTTCCCTGAAATTCTACAATCCACATTCAATGAAAGCCTGTTAGTGCTGTCCCTCAATACTTTAATTCTAAAGGGCTTCCTTTGCATTCCCTTTACAAAGCCTTGCACAAAGAAGAGTTTAAGCACCAGTAAGAAAGACTGTTGCTAGCAGTTTTATTTCATCATTGTAACCATCATAAACAAAAAACATGCATTTTCTTTCTCCTATGTGCATGGCATTGTAAAACGAGTGGTATACTCTGCCTTGTGGTACAAAGTTTATAAATACAATATACCAGTACAAAGTTGAAGCCATTAAAAAGCTTAATAACAACTGCTATGAGATAATTAAGTCTGGAGTGTTGATGTAATCTATGAAGAGAGTTAGAAACAACACACAAACTCAAACATAGTAATAAACATTTTACTTGGGAAGGGAAGGGAACTTTCTATGTGCTACCGAAGGAGTTTCTAAGTTGCTCCAAGTTACTTTCTTTCTGCAATTATCTTTAAATACTGCAAAGCATTGTGAGCTGCATCACTCTGCGCATTGCCACAGGAGATCCCAGAGCCATGACAGACTGTGATGGGACTAGTTGACAGTTCAGCCAGACATTGATACTGTCCATTGGCACTCAGTTCTTCTGTAATGACATAAGTAAATAGGATGGTTAATGCCAAGCATGTATAAAGTAGATCCTTTGTGAAAACAATGCAGTTTTTATTATTGTCTTTCTCAGTAAGCACCCAAGGTATACTCTCCAGTTACTCTATACAGCATTGTCATGCTTAACAAAGGGAAAAAACATTACTACTCCATTTATCAGCTTTGTCATGCTTATGATAACAAAAACAAAATGCAACTGCCTAGCTGTAGCAGTGGTTCTCAAGCATAGCTGTGCTTCATAATCACTTGAGGGAATTTTAAATCAATTTAGATGCTCAGACCTCACTCCAACCTACTCAATACGAAACACAGGGTTGGGGGTGAGAGGTGTCCAGAATCTTATATTTATAGAAAAGCTCCCAAGGCAGTTCTAATGTGGCTAGTTAAAAGTGTTTGTTAACTACTGAGCCATAGGAACATTCTTAAAAAGGAAAAAAAAACATTTGCTAGAGGAGTGGAGAGACTATTTTTCCTATGAACATTAAGGCAGGGTTTCAGTGGGTGTTTGAACCAGGAAATACCTAGTTCAGGGCAAGACCTCCCTTGTGTCTTCATGTTCTTAGATTATAAATATGCAGAGAATCTAGTTCTATATTGTAAATGGGTTGAGATGTTTTATAAAACAATACCTGAACCCAAGTAACAAATGCTCTTCCGACCAATGGACGGGCCACTCTCACTAAGTATGGCTGAAATGAGCCAAGGGGAAGAAGTCAAAGCAGGAAAAGTATGATTCATGATTGAATGTTATTATTTCAGCTAGAGTCACTTTAGTGGGAAATATCCACATACAGTGGGATAATTTAATAAGAGGCGTTCTAGTGCTAGCATCTAGGTTTTTTTGAAGGTAACTGCATAGAAGCTAACCTCTTTACCAAATTAACACTGGTTTTTAGGTTGCTCTTCCATATTTACAAAAAATTATTTCTTAGTTCTTAAAATTGGCAAGAAGCATTTCAAAAGATTAATTTATAATCTAAAAACTTATTGAAATTTCTCTTCTTTTACCATGATCAACTATGGCTTTAGTATCTTCCACGGTCCTATGCATTCATCTCCATATCCCATATATTTACTGAGTGAATAGTCTTCCATCAGCTACCTTTTCTGACCATCTATGTGCACTAATTCTCAGGTACTGGATCATTTTTGATATTTTAAGACAATGCATTTGATCCAAATTCAATCCCAAAGTGGTGTATTTGTTATGTGCTGTTGAGTCGGACCTGACTCATAGCGACCCCTCCTTGGGTTTCCAAGGTGGTATGACTACTGAAGTAGATTGCCCAACCTTCCCTCCAAGGAGTGGCTGGTGGGTTTGAACTGCCAGCCTTCTGGTTAGCAGTCAAATGCCTTAGGCACTATGCTACCAGAGCTCCCAATCCCAAAGTAGTAGAGAAAATTTAAAAAATTACTTTAGCCCCCATATACACTATTTTCCCAGTGCTAGCAGCTCTGACAAGTGAAGTCCTCACATCTCACTGAGGTTGGAAAAAATGGAAACCAAGTTGTTTACATGTCAAATTTATGGTAAATCAAGCCACCAAATTAAGAACAACAAAAACCAAATAACAAAATAGCAATTAACCAGCTTTATAAACTAAATTGAAATAAAAGTCAAACTGACTTGACTGCCAATCTGTCCATCATTTGGCTATCAAAATAAGAAACTGCAAGAGAAATTACAGAAGATGGAAGATAATGGCTGACATGGAGAAAAGCTATAAATTGACTCATCTGCATTGTTAGTCTCCCAGAACTGGCACACAGTGACAAAGTGGAGACAAACTTCGTAATTGTTCTAGAATGCCTTCTCATTTGCCAAGCTGCAGATGACGGCCAGTTTAACAGTGTTAACAGCTGGCACTCTGTCTCTAATCTAGCTCTACCATAGCTACCACACCGACTAGCTACATGATCTTGGACAAGTTTTCCATCCTTTCCTTTCCTTACTTTCTTCACTCAGAAGTAAGAATTCCGACTCATACTGACCACCATGGGGTTTCTGAGGCTGTAAATCTTTACGGAAGCAGGTTGGCCCATTTTCCTTCCACGGAGCAGCTGGTGGTTTGAACTGCTGACCTACTGGTTAGCAGCCAAATGCCTTATCCTCTACACTACCAAAGCTCCTTTAGAAATAAGAATGGGACCTACTTAATAGGGTTAGTTTGAGGATTCAGTAAGTTGACATATGTAAGGTCCTTAAAACAGTGCTTGCACATAATAAAACTCTGTAAATCTTAGCTATTGTTTTTGTTTCTGTAGCAGTACAGATGTCAGTTATTCATAAGAATGTGACATTATCTATCATCTATATTACTGCTAGGTAATTATACATAGTTATAATTCCTGTTCAAAGAAAGAGAATAGAAATTTTTGATTCTCAAAACACATTTTAAAAAGCAACTTTTTAAATTGTAGTTTGGGTAAAAGTTTAGAGTAAATTAGTTTTCTATTCAACAATTTATACACATTTTATTTCATAACATTAGTTGCAATTCACTCAATGTAACATCACTCTTCCCACTTCCTCCCTTGGTTCCCTGTTTCCATTTATCCTTCTTTCCTGCCCCTTCCTGCCTTTTAAGCTTTCTTTTGGGTGTTATATAGTTGACTCTGAAGAGTATATTCTTCGTGAGTGTCAGCATGTTCACTTTATAGGCCTATCTGTTGTTTGACCGTAATGTGATCCCCAGGGGTAGGTTCAGCTCCATGTTTAAAATCTAAAGGCCACAGTCTTGGAGGTTCCACCAGTCTCTATCAGACCAATAAGTCTGGTCTTTTTTATGATTTTTAATTTTGTTCTACATTTTTCTCCCATTCTGTCCAGGACCTTCTGTGGTCCCAATCAGAGCAGTTATTAGTGACAACCAGGCACCATCTAGTTCTTCTGATACCAGGGTAATGGAGTTGTGGTTCATGTGGTACAACAGTCCTCTGGACTAATTGTCTGAGTCTTTGATACTCTTCACTCTTCTTTCCTTCAGACGGTGAGAGACCAACAGATACATCTTAGATGATCATTCTAGCCTTTAAGACCCCAGTCACTACTGACCACAGTAGAGTGTAGAACACTGTCCTTGTCATCCCCCAGTCACTACTGACCAGAGTAGAGTGTAGAACACTGTCCTTGTCATCAATGTTATGCTGCCAATCGACTTAGCTTCCCTTACACTGTGGTCCTAAGCCCCCAAGCTCAGTGACTCATTCCCACAAAAAACAAAATTTCTTAAGATAAGCCAAAGGAAAAAAAATCATACCTATATCCAAATATGTTATATTAAAACCTTGTTCCTTGGCGATTTCACTAAGCAGCTGGATATAATCTATGTTTGGAATACTGAGGAGGCTTCTTTTCAATAAGTTGATCTTTTCACCAGGAGAATTCCTCAAAGAATGCCAAGTACATCCTAAAGAATGTCCTACTACATTTGTCTGAAAAATACAGACGAAGACTTACACTCCTCATCAGCACTGGGTTCCAACACTATTATAATCAAAAGTACTTGCTAAACAGTCATGTTTAATACTTTATATAAACACGTCTAAATGGATACCATTTGGTTAAATTTCCAATTTAAACTAGACAACATTAACAAAGATACACATTTAACAAACACTACGATATATATATATATATATATATATATATATATTTTAAAAGTACTTGTAATGATCTATTAAAAGTGTATTAAAAAGGACTTTGAAATAATACAAAGGTCTCAGTCAGATTTTCTGATGGTCATGTTAAGAGGTACAGGATAAGCAAATCTGCAGATAATGGAATCTGCTATTAATGGTGCAATTTACAAAAAAAAAAAAAAAAAAAAACAATTTTGATATCTTTATAGTTTCTTCTATTAAATACTAATCACTAACCGGCAGCTAAAAAGCAAAAAACAAAGAAACTGTAGCAAAGGTGAAACTTGCAAGTTGAGTTTGAGAAGAGTACCATTCAAATGTCAGGGATGTTAAGTTCTTATGAAAGGGGGCGTTTCTCTGAGAATGCATTGTTACTTTAAAGGCAAAAATGGCACTATCGGTTTATTATTTTAGGTCTTATTCTAAATTTGACTGTCTTCCTCCATGACCTTGTATCTGGTCAACTCTATAACCCTGACGGACATTTAGCAGTCAGCTAAAATTGTAGTAGTGTATGACTGAACAATGAAGAAATCTTTAAAAACTTCAACTCTGAAGAATTTAAACAAGAAATCAAGGAAATTTTCCTACACCAAAGATGCTTAATTACATCAACATCATAACTGAGCATTACTCACTAAAGAAATGTGGTTGTCTGGAGAAATATTACTAAATTTGGCAAGAAATTTCTCAGCAGCATTTCTCTTGGCTTGTTTTTTCGATGCCCCCTTTCCTAAATAAAGAAAAAGAAATGGTAGATGTTAGAAAAGAAATTAGTGTTCATAGAGAATGACTTAATGTTTAAAGTTTTGTGTTTAATCAGAGAATAACCTATTCTTTCACTAACCTGGTATCTTTGTTTGTTGTGCTTCATAAAGCTACTAATTCTTACATTTCTTAACATGCCTTTAAGTTTCTTTTTTTAACAGTTATATTTAGCAGTTATATTTCTCTATTTTTAATGAACCACATTTGGTTTAATTTTGGCCAAATATTCAAATGTATCAAGGTACACATGAATTAAAATTCCTATTTTTTAATGTCTATTTTTTGCTGTCATCTATAAACTAACAACTATGTGGCATTTCTTTCCCTCATACTGGTAAGAAGGAAGAAGGGCATAGGAAATGCTGGAATTGAAATACACCAAAAATATCATGTACTTCAATGCTTTTGTTATATGGATTAAAAAACTGAGGTCCAGGGAGATTAAGAAATCTGCCTAACCTTGTAAAGCAGAACTGTATCAAGAATGGAACAGAAGCCAGGATCTTGTTTTTGGCCCACTGCTCTCTGCATTGGCCTACACTACCTCTCACAGGCAAAAGTTATTTATTACTTGCAACTATCTAGCCAATGGTAAAATTCATTTCCTAGGCCACTTCAAAAGTGGTAAAAACATACAAACATACAGCACCACCAGAGTTCCCAAGCTGCTGTAATTTAAAAAGAAAATTCCTACTTTATTTTCATTTCACGTTATTTTTTGCTATCTACTCTCTTATTGGGAGCTCTGATGGTGTAGTGCCTAAGGCATCTGACTGCTAACCAGAAGTCTGGTGGTTCAAACCCACCAACCACTCCTCAGAAGGAAGGTTGAGCAATCTACTTCCGTAGCGATACCGCCTTGGAAACCCGAGGAGGAGTCGCTATGAGTTGGATCCGACTCAACGGCAGTTGAGTTTGGGTTTTTTTTGAGTCTCTTATTAAGTCATCTTATTTTCAAATGTAATCTTCCTCTACTTTTTTTCATCTTCTACAGTAGCTGCTGAAACTCCCAGATATTTATTACTCCTTTTTCCTTTCAAAATGAGTGGGTTTTTTGGTCACTAATACATCAAGGATGACTTTTAAAAGGATAAAATCAATTATTTATTTATCTTTCCATTAACAAACTATGATTTTTAAAATAGCAAGTTAAGAGCATGTAAGTATACTTAAGCCAAATACTTATTCTTAAATTCCACCTCAGAATGTCAGAGACAGTAGAATGGGAATGTATCAATTTTTCCTCCACAGAATGATTTGAAAAGATATTAAAACAGAAATTTCTACAATCACTCATCATCTGAAAACATTTCAAATGTCTTTAACTGTATAAGGATGAAAAATAATAAGTACCAGTTTCCATAAATGACTCTAGCCTGCAAATTGTGGTATATTCTCTTTTATGAGCAGGTCCTCCCTCTTGGGAGAGGGTATATTCAGGAAGTCTCCAGCCATGATGAATAGCCAATTCCTATAAAATTAATAAGGCTTTATTAGTAATTTAACTGTGCAATGGCTCAAAAACGGTTTTCTTTCTTGGTTTTGATTGCATTTCTATTATATGTTTAAAAAGAATAATGCTATTATTCAGTAGAAAAATGAGGGAAGATGCTGTAATTCCCACAGATATTCCAGCATTTCATATTTTTAGCCCACAATACCAAAAGTGAAGAATGGTGTTCTTCTATTAAGCCAAAGTAAGCTGAGATCAAAGAATTCAAATAAAAAGGCTACTATCATCCTCTTCAGGAATACCAGAAAGGATTTCTACAGGTATCACTGCCATGAGTTCTCAAGGTCTCTTCCCTTGTAGTTATAAAGAGACCTCAATACCCACAACTGGCTGGCTCCCGCATCAACAGCAGATGAGGAGCAGAGACAACAACAAAAAGGCTTGGATGAGGTTGAGGAAAGGTTAAGAAAAACCACACAAAAACTCAAAGGACAGAAAAGAAAGACCAAAGGACTGGTTAATGAGGAAGGCTTTGTCCAACAGAGCATGTGGATAATCTGCACAGATATTCTGCAAACAGAAATTCAAAGCTAAGTATATGTATATTGTATATTCTTGGCGTGTTTTGCATATATATAAATAATAAGCAAATCAGCAAACTACTTCCCTTTTCTTGAGTTAGGTTACTCGATATAGGCTCTTTATAAGATCTTCTGTCACAACAGAAGTAGAAAGAAATTTGTCACTTAAATAGCACGACATATTCTTAAAGTATCAACATTCACGTGTACTGAGATCCTGTTAATCTCAAATGAGAATTCCACAAACCAAAGGCTGATACTGTATATGGATGAAAACTGAAAACATAAATAGAAAAATAATTAGCTATCTAATTATTCAAGTTAACTCTGTAATATCTAATGGTTATAACTTAGAAAACAAATCTCATCTCATCTTTAAAATATTAATTCTTTATCTTAGCCCCTGTGATATTATCAATTTATTACATTTCTATCAGTAGACAAAATGTCAAGTATGGAAAACTGTACTACTTACCTGTAATGAACCAATAGGATTAAGTTGATTCTTTGGTTGCTTGGAAGGGTCAGGCATTAAAGGGTCAGGAACTGCAAAGCTAAACATTAATTTTAAAGTGTTATAAAACAAAATAGTTTGTTACAAAACAAATTACTAAATAAATGACAAGCATTTTTTAACTCTCTATGCTTTTGCTCTTGCCATTCCTTCTACTGGGGATGCCCTTTGCTCCAATCTCTTCTATGGCCATCCCATCTACCTGTCATCCAAGGTATATCTCAAATGCACTTCCTCTAAGAAGCTTATCCCTTAAAACACTTAGAGGGCAGCTAGTTTATGTTAATGGGGGAAGGGGGGGCAATTCAGAAAAGGAGGGTGAGAATGGTTGCACAACTTGAAGACTGTAATCAATGTCATGGAACTGTACATGTAGAAATTGTATATTCACTACAACAAAAAATGATTATTTAAAAAAAAAAAAGCCTATCCTTTCACCCCAGTGGATCAAAATCTCTCCCTCCTGGAATGACTGGTTCTTGAGGAAATAATTTTCACATAACTTATACACTCTTATAAGCACATGTTATTTGTCTACCCTCACCATTCCTCTCTGTTCATATGTAAGATCGTTGATGGAAGGACCTATGCATTACTTACCTTCACAAACCTTGTACTGTTTCTTAAGAAATGCTCAATAAAAATGTATTTAAATAAACTGTACTACTGTTTCAGTCACACAAAGAAGGAAGATTAATAATTAGCCAGGAAATTTAGCCTGGTAAGGTGATAAATACTGGTCATAAATGTTGTTTTTTCATCTAGATAACTACGTAGGAAAGGTCTTTTTGATCTATCATCTGGTCAGTTCTGAGATAATCCTCTAAGATTTATATGTATACTGTGTAAAATAAATGGCCTGCATGAATCTGGTTTCAGCACATGGGGATTCTGATTAGGGAAAAGGGAACCATTTCTGCTAGGTAATCTGAACTTACTAGTTACTTGGGAGTTCGGTGCCTAAAACTAAATAAGCTGCATTCCAATGATACTAACACCTAGGCAACTGGAGAGTCATTTCTCCATGACAAACTAAGTTTAGTTCTTGCCACTTCCTCAAGTTTCTTTTCTAACTGCCAGAATTTCAAGCTTTAAACATAGGCAGATGAGATTAGAGTATTCACTTACAATGCCGCATGCCGAAGCTACCCAAATAATTGTGATGGAGAAGTGAGAAAGTCTCTGTATTAAATCAATCACTCTAGGCCTGATTACAGCTTAGTAATTCCCATCTTACCTGTCAAGAAGCACAAATATATAGTAAAGTTTGTTAGCCTTTTTGCTGATAAAGTGAAGTGCTCATGTGCAGAAAGAACACTCTGTGCGCTCATTTCTACGAATGTACTCAACACTTTGTTTTGTTGACCTTTGGGCTGCACAGAAATAGCATGGCCATCACCCGGGGGGAGCAGGGAAAGAACCCAATACCTGCTATGCCATTTAGCATGTCTTGAAAATGAGCATAAATCAATTATAACACGTGACCCAGAGAAAAGCATCATGTGAGATCCAAGGCTTGTCTCTGGGCAAGTGTTTATCTACAGGGTTGTCATGGCACTGGTTAGTTCTAAGATATCCAAAAGGTTTAGAATGACTTAGAAAGAGGGAGGAGTACTGAATAAGAACCTACAACATACCCCTAAGCAAAAAGTGTTGCTATGGCAGGGGAATAAAACACCCAGCCTCGATTCTCATGGGCCTCTGTGGGTCAGCAATGACCAGACTACACCAGACTGTACTCCAAGTATAACTGAACACGTAGAAGTGAAGGCATGCCATGCTCCAGAGAGTGCCCAGTGGAAACTAAAGGACACCACTTTACGACACACGAGATGCTCCAGGACCCACACTTTTTCCAAAAGCACCTCAAGTGATTAAAAAAAAAAAAAAAAATTTAATGTGGAAAGACATGTCAAGAATAAATATTCCACTTAACATTCTCTCATACTTGGTATCTGTCTTCTGCCTAAATCAGAATTCTGAAAGTGCTTTTGCTGATCTTTCTCCATCCCACACCTTATTTTCTTCAGTGTAGACACAGAGTCTTAATACAATAAGATCGGCCAGAAAAACTCTGGTTTTCTACTGCTGCATTCCATCAGTTTTTTTTTTTTTTTAAAAAAAGGTAAAGCCTATTTCATGAGAGTTTCATTTAATAGCTATTTGTTAGACTTAATTTCTTAAAGTTGTCTTTAAATGGATGACAGATTTTAACAAGGAAATAGAATGTTTGAGCTAAGATACTAAAAACCATCCACTTTGTTGCTTTTGTATGTTCAAACTTTCAGTCTTACCTCAGCCATGATATTTTTGAGCTGCAGAATACAAAGAAATTTAGCTCACCAAATACTTGCATTGGCTTTCAAAATGTTTATGGCAGCCTCTGCAGCTCTATGTTTCGCCAGCTTCTTACTTGTACCTTCACCTGAATGAAGGTTAAAAAAAATTAGTACCTTTATAAAAAATTCTTTATATGCAGAGGTGTTTTAATACAAAACAAAGTCACTACAGGTTATCTTTATATATTTATCTATACACACACACACGGAAATAAAAATATGTACTATATGTAGTTATATATAATAAAATATTGACTTCATGAAATACATTAAAAAACACAATTTTAAAAGTTCTATATATTTAAATCTATGCATATCTGTATAAAAACCCTTATCATTATTTCTCCATTATATATATTTATTGCATAACATTGTAATAAAGTAGACTTTGTCAGTTTTCTGAAGAGATAATATTTTATTCTTCTCTTATTCCTAGAAACAATTTTTTTTTTCTTTAAACAGCAGGAACTGACTTCTTGGATGGCAACAAATAATTTCTTTTGAAGGATCCACTTGTAGCAAAATAGCTTGACAGCAAAATATGCACTATTTTATTTTGACAGCCCACTGATACTGACTCAAACCATTCAGCACTCATGACTACACAGTGGCTAAACTCGGGGGAAGGTTTGTATACCGAAGGTGCTAGCTTATGTTATGTGTATTCCATACAACTCTATCTCTTTAAAGGGAGCTCTGGTGGCGTAGTGCCTAAGGCATTTAACTGCTACCCAGAAGGCTGAAGGTTCAAATCCACTAGCCACTCCTCAAAAGGAAGACTGGACAATCTACTTCCGCAGAGATACCACCTCAGAAACCCAAGGAGGGGTACCTACATTATGTGTATTCCACACAATCTCTATCCGTTAAATGTGTAGATGGGGGGGCATAAGACTCACTAATCATAAAGGTTTATGTCTAAATTTTAGTAAGCAATCCATACCTGTTGTTATTTGCCATCGAGTTGGACCCAACTCATAGTGACTCCTTGGGTTTTCAAGGCAGTATCACTACAGAAGTAGATTGCCCAACATTCCTTCTGAGGAGTGGCTGGTGGGTTCGAACTGGCAGCCTTCTGGTGTTAGCAGTCAAGTGCCTTAGGCACTGTGCTACCAGAGCTCCTAATCCATACCTAGTAAATGGTAAATTTAATCTTTTTACATGTGAGTTCGAACTAGCTATTAAGAACCTTTCAAAACTGGTGTCAGAGTCATTGAGCTCAACTGGCACAATTAAACATGTGACACAAGAACACTGTTCTACATCCTACTTTGGTGAGTAGTGACTGGGGTCTTAAAAGCTTGCAAACAGCCATCTAGATGCAACAATTGGTCTCTCCTCATCCGGATAACGAAGAATAACGAAGAAAAACAAAGACGCATGGAAACTAACAGTTGGACTAGTGAACCATGCAAACCTCAGCTAATATGACCATGAAACCACAAGAACTAGATGGTGCCTGGCTACCACTGTCAACCACTCAGAAAAGGATTAGTGCAGGAGATCCGGGATAGAGTAGGAGAACAATGTGGAAGAAAACTCAAAATCATAACAAAAAAAAAAAAAAAAGACTATGCTTACTGGTCTGAAAGAGACTAGTAAACTCCCAAGACTGTGGCTCCTAGTCACCCTTCAGGCCTGAAACTGAAGTCCCTCCTGAGTGAGTGAGCTTCCAGCCACACAACAGACAGGCATATAAGGTGAACATTTACACCAAGTAGGTACACTCCTTAGATCAATTGTGGGAGAACAGAAGGGTAGTATTTGTACAGGAAGATAGCTGAGGAGGGAGGAACGCACAGAAAAAGACAGACACAGGGAGGAAGTGGCAAGAGAGCTGTTATATCACAGGAATTGTACTCAATGTCATGAAACAAAATATGTATGAACTGCTGCATGGAAAATCAATCTGTTCTGTAAACTTTCACCCAAATCACACACAAAAGAAGTGGTGTCTGACTGCTGACAACCATTACTTCGATGTGGAGGGAAGAAGGAGGGGCCCAGAGATTTCAAGTGTGACCCTTCATGTGTCAAAGGACACATAAACCATAGTTGTTTATCTACTAACATAGATGACAGGGATACAGAGGTTTCGGCACAGAGAATACAACCCAGTAAAAAGGCATGTGAAATGGAATAGTAAGCAGGCCTAAGTGCAGGTCGGGGGAACACGTAAGAGGTACTGCTCCTCTACTCTTGAGAAGGACTCAGAAAGGTTTCACGGAAGAAGAGATATGTAAATAGAAACCTGAAAGATTAGTAAAAGGTAGTAAGGTAAAGAGAGAGAGGGGATTAGAAAGAATATTCTAGTCAGAGAAAAGACCACCTACAAAGGCTTAAAGGTAACATACAGAAAGACAGCATTTTTAAGAGACCCAAGTAGTTGGTCATGCAAAAGCATGAGGGAAGAAATTTTTAGATAAAAGGCTTAGAGTTAGGGGTGAGGAGATAGATTTTGCAAATGTGTGCTTCTCAAAATTTAATGTACATAGGAATCACCTGGAAATTTAGTTAAAACGTGTACTCTGATCCAGAAGGTCAGGGATGGGGCCTGATATTCCACATTTTCATCAGGCTCTCACGTGCTGTTAATGCTGCTGACCATACTTTGAGATGCAAGGGTGTAAATCATGCTATGAAATTTGTATTTATCCATGGGGAAACCACTGACTGAATTTTAAGCAGAGAAATTATATGAACAAATTTGAATTCTAGGATAAACACTCTGGTGGTAGTGTGGAAAATGAACTGGACATTACCAGAATAGTAGTGGGAAAGAGTATCTACAAGACTGCTCTAATCCAGGTGGCCTGGAGACAAGGGAGAGAGGAGACAAATTCAAGAGATACTTCTTGTTGTTGTTATGTGCTGTCGAGTCAGACCTGACTCATAGCGACCCTTAGGAGGTAGGATTTGGTTACAGACTAGACAAGAAAGAAAGGTCAAGAAGATAAACTCTAATGTGAGCAACTGGGTGATGGTGGTGCCTTTATTGATAGGGAATGCAAAGAGAATAGGTTTGGGGAATAGAAAGATGGGTTCAGTTTGAGACAATAAGAGTTTCAGGTGCCTTTGGGTTATCCAAGTGAACATGCCTATCAAGCACTGTTTGATATATTGTTCTGTAACTGGGCCCAGACTAAAGATAGAGATTTCAGAATCATCATGCTTTAGATAGTATTAAAAGCCATGTAGGCAGATAAGCTTATATAGGAAGACAGGGCAGTGTGCAAAGATAAGAGCTAGTAGGCAGAATAGTTGTCAATTTCTAGTCTAAACCAACAAAAAAACCCAAACCCATTGTCCTGCAGTCAATTCTGACACAGCGATCCTACAGGACAAAGCAGAAGTGCCCCATAGGGCTTCCAAGGCTATGAGTCTTGATGAAAGCAGACTGCCTCATCTTTCTTCCATGGGACACCTGGTGCGTTCTAACCACAGACCTTTTGGTTAGGCACCAAATATTTTAACCACTAAGCCACCAGAGCTTCCAATCTAAACTACAATAAGGGAGAAAAATCATTATTTTCTCTTGAATTTTGACTATTTAAAAATAGACTAGATGAAACAATAATGAAATGTTGACTCTGTGGTTCACACAAGGTGCATTCTAGCTAGCATCAACAATCCACCTACCTACCTTACATAGACAAAAAAGATTCAAAATTTTCTTAAAGTGACTTTAATGAAAATAGCAGACTGCAGACTCCAATGACAAAAGCAAATGATGTCTTTAGATGGTGGAATTTCAGCTTTCTTACTGAATTGTTTTTTTCTTGGTATTTTTCCAAATGAAATTTAATATTCAAAATTTGTGTTTGCAATTATATAGATCATGATTAAAAAAATAATAATGTCTACGTTTCCAGATGGGCAACTTTAGTTACCATTTGCTCAAGTTCACACCATTATAAAGTATAAAGCTGAACTCTGAAACTTCTTTGCTATGTGATCTTGGCCACGTTACTTATAATCTCTCTGAACCTGTTTCGTTGTGTATAAATAAGAGAATAACATCCTATAAAATACCTGTACAATTTTAAGAACTAGAAGTTTGCTAAATTTATGAAGCTTCTGCCCTTCTTCAATTTGCCTGGATATAGAATCAAGTGTGGTACAAAACACAAAATGAGTCCAAAGAGAGTGACGGCTCAGAAAATGTCTGGGGTCATGCTTCCTTGCATCTGCTATAATCTGAAACAGTCTTGACAGCACCTACTAATACAGCTATGTCTGCTCCAAGAGACTTTCTGCTTTTCCTAATTCCTTCCATGTGAGAGGAGCCTTACAGAGGCCTGGAGATATATATAAATATGTATATATGGGAGCTCTGGTAGTGTAGTGCCTAAGGCACCTGACTGCTAACCAGAAGGCTGGTGGTTCAAACCCACCAGCCACTCCTTGGAAGGAAGATGGGGCCATCTACTTCTGTAGTGATACTGCCTCGGAAACCCAAGCAGGGGTTGCTATGAGTTGGGTCGGACTCGACGGCACATAAACAAATATATATATATATATATATATATATATATAAAAATGTGTGTGTGTGTATATATATTTTAAGTTTCTAAGCTTCTCTTAATATCCAGAAGTGAGAAAATCAGAAGAAGTTGGAATGTCCCAATGACTTAAGATGGGGTGTCATGATTTCAAAAGTGTCTTCTCCCCATAGCTGTTTCTGGCAAAAAAGACATCTTTCTGAACTGGAAAATAATACCACGTCTTGACTACCAACCTACATGGTCCTCAAGGTTAACTGTGCATACAGACCTGTGCAAGTTATGTCACCAACGGTTACTCTGAAGGTGAAAGTGGGCACATGTATTTGCACATCGGATCTTTCACATTCATAAACCGGGATGTTCTTGGTCTTCATGCCATACTCATGTAATATCTGAATCGGCGTTTTCCCTGGCTTAGCGGTAATCATCTTCCCCAAACTGCAAAAACCAGGGGGGAAAAAAGGAGGTGTACTTTTTGCATGCCAAAGCGTAAAAGCAAGCAGAAGCATAAAGAGTTCAGTTCTGACAGCCACCAACAGTAAAAGAAGTGCCCCAGCTTCTCAGCAGCCAGAGGTGGCAAGGCCTGGGTGCACCTGTCTCCAGCTCCGCTGCAGCGGGCACTGGGCAAGGGCGGACAGCGTGAGGGAAGTCTTTAGGGAGGTAACTTGAATACGGATAGGAGGGATTCTCAGGGTAACTGGACCAAAGCCACTGCTGCCCCTGTTCAAGACCAAGCTCTCAATCCTTTTCTGAGCTTAGGCCTTCTGGGAAGCAGCGGCCACGCACCGCCCAAAGCCGCGAGGGGGGCGGGGCCGGCCTCAGACCCCCGGCCCGCGCGCGCCGCCGAGAGGGCGGGGCCGAGCAACTGAGCACCACCCGCAGCCGCGGGGCGGAGGCAGGAGTGCCTAGAAGGGGCTTTACCCAGAATGCCACAGAAGAGCCGGCTCCCAGGCCTGTGCGTCTCCGCCCCACCGCCCTCCACCCTGCCCACCTCGGCCCCAGCTGCGCGGACGCTGACCTGAAGGTCCCGCTGTCCTCGCGCTCCAGCGGCGGGGCCGCAGCGCGATGCCTGCTCTGGGACATAACGGCTTGGTGGAAGCAGAAAGAGCCGTGCGGAGGGACGTCCTCGTTCCACGGGTCGGCCGAAACCCGACAGGAGCCCTCCAGCGCCACCGCCGCTGCCACCGCCTCCTCGCCTCCCACTCCCCCACCCTTCCTTGCTTGCGTCCCTGTTGCGAGGGGGCGGAGTCAGAGCCTCGGCACCGCAGCCACGATCCCCGGCTCCCGGCCACGCCTCCCCTGTTCCCCCCTCTGCCCGCCTGTCTCCTAGCTCGACCCCGCCTCGCTCGCGGTTCTCGGCTCCCGGCCCCGCCTTTCTTCCCTTCCGACCCCGCCCCTTTTCCAGCCCTGGCTTTTTTTGGCTCCCGCCCTTGACCCTTCCCCAGTGGCGGTTTCGGCACCATCTCGGCACCTGGCCGTGCTGGCATTAGCCCGCCCATAACAACTCGGTTTTTTGTCCTTAAAAGGAGCCGGGTTCCTGCCAGGAGAGATGGCTTGTCAGGGCGGGCCCAGTCTAGGAGGCCTGAAGCTCACGCATTTTTTTTTTTTTCTTTTGAAGCTTTGGGAGCTAGGTCACTTTAAGAAACATTGCAAAATCCCGAATACAAAAGTGTAGGGCGCCTGCCTAGGCCTGGGCCCGAAGCTAGAGAATCGAGCCTCGCGGTAGATACGCCCACGGTGAAAGCCCTGGCTCCCAAACCCTGCCATTATGGTCATTGGGCAGTAGCGGAGCGGACTCCTTTGTCTTCTAAGCTTTGGTTGCGACGCTGAAGTGAATGTTGGTCCAGGGGACCTCCGCAAGGCACGTTAGGTGTAAACGAAGGCTTTCCTATGGACTAGATTCCAATTAAACGCAGTTTCTGCAGACCTGTTTTGTTGATCGTAATTTTGCTTGCACCTCCTTTGGTGAGGGGCAGACAACAACATTAGATGTGTCGCTTCTCTAGGAGTTTGCTGTGTACTTGCAGAAATGACTACCTGTACTTAGTTTGTATTCTGGAAAATTGCTTCGTACAGTGCTGCTCTCATGAAGATGTTGTTGTTGTTGTTGTTATGTGCTGTGGAGTCGGACTGACTCATAGCGACCCCTCCTTGTGTTTCCCAGGCAGTATCACTACGAAAGTAGATTGCCCCATTTTCCTTCCGAGGAGTGGCTGGTGGGTTTGAACCGCCAGCCTTCTGGTCAGCAGTCAAGTGCGTTAGGCACTACGCTACCAGAGCTATTAAAAGCCATTTATTTTTTTTAAGTTGCATGTGAGTCCTAGACACTTGAAAGCAGATGAAATGTCCAGAACCTTATCAGATGGATTTTCATTATTCGAGGCTTGAATTAAGCCAGTTCTTTCTTCCTCCTACTCTACCTCCTTTTTATATATGTATATTGATTGTTTTGTTATGTGCTGTCGAGTCCCACCGACTCATAGTGACCCCTCCTTGGGTTTCCTAGGCGGTATCACTATGGAAATAGATTGCCCAATCTTCCTTCTGAGGAGTGGATGGTGGGTTTGAACCGCCAGCCTTCTGGTTAGCAGTCAAGTGCCTTAGGCACTATGCTACCAGAGCTCCTCCCTGTATATTGATTACTATTCGTTAAAGTTATATTTTGATGAATATCTTATTGTAAGCACCACATAGCCCCTATTTCAAAATACATTAACCTCCACATGACAACGATGGCAGCACCCAGGTTTATTGTTTATAGGATTTATTTTAGCCACAAAATTTAAAACTTGCCAAAACCTCATACAGCTCTCTTTAAAGGCTAGGAAACTGAGATAATAATGATAAGACAAAAAGAAAATAAATACAGCAGGATTTATTCAAACAGATGTGATCATGTGCCAGCTTGTTAGTAAAAATCTCTATGTACTGAGGTTTATACAGTTACTTATATGTCATGTAAGGATTTCTGGTGGTGTAATGGGAAAGGCATTTGGCTGCTAACCACAAGGTTGATGGTTCAAACCCACCAGCTGCTTCATGAGAGGACTCACTGCCGTTGAGTGGGATCTGACTCAGCGACCCCTCCTTGGGAAGGTGAAGCAATATACTTCTGTAAACCTTTACAACCTTCAGAACCCAATGGTTGTTGCTATGAATCTGAATTGACTTTTTGGCAGTAGGTACATGTAATGTGGCTTTAACTTAGTGTTTTTTTTTTTTTTTTTTAAAGATTGGTATACACATGGTCACAGAGGACATCAAACTCAATTGGCATAACATACTATACAAGAACATTGTTCCACATCCTGCTTTGGTGAGTAGCAACTGGAATCTTAAAAGCTTGCAGGCAAGCTGCCATCTAGATGCAACAATGGGTCTCCCCTCATCCAGAGCAAAGAAGAATGAAGAAAACCAAAATTCATGGGAACAATTAGTCCCAGCGACTGGTACACCATTTGATCTGCAGCCTATACGACTATGAGACCAGAAGAACTAGATGGTGCCCGGCTACCACTGTCATCCACTTGGAAGGGGATCTATGTAGGAGATCCTTGATAGAGAGGGAGAACAATGTGGAACAAAACTCAAAATCATTTGGAGAAAAAAAAAAAAGGTGGGGACCAGGTTTGCTGGTCCGATAGAGCCTGGTGGAACCACTAAGACTATGGCCCCTAGCTGCCCTTCAGGTCTGGAATTGAACCCACACCTGTGCTTTCCAGCCAACCAGAAGACAGCCATATGAATTGAACATTTACCTGAGGTAGTTACACTTCTTGGAGAGAACAGTCATTGAGAAAGAAGGGCTGCACAGGGAGACAGCTTAGGGGGCAAGAGTCCCTGGAGGGATGGACGCTGGGAAGAGGTAACTATGGGGAGGAAGTGGGAGGGGAGCTGTTGCATTGTGGTAAACTGTGGTCAATGTCATGAGACAAAGTATATGTAAACTGCTATATGGAAAGTGAATTTGCTCTGTAAATCTTCACCCAAATCACAATAAAAAAAAAAACTTGCAAGCAGCCATCTAGATGCAATGATGGGTCTCTCCTCATCCAGAGCAAAGAAGAATGAAGAAAACCAAAGATGCATGGAAACTATTAGTCCAAGGGACTGGTACACCATGCGATCCTCAGCCTATGTGACTCTGAGACTAGAAGAAGTAGATAATGCCTGGCTACCACTGGCAACCACTTGGAGGGGGATCTATGTAGGAGATCCTGGATAGAGTGGGAGAACAATGTGGAACAAAACTCAAAATCATATTTTAAAAAAAGGGGGGGAGGGGACCAGATTTGCTGGGTCTGATAGAGCCCAATGGAACCCCTGAGACTATGGCCCCTAGCTGCCCTTGGTCTGGATTTGAACCCACTCCTGTGGCTTCTAGCCAAACAAGATAGGCATATGAGCTGAACATTTATATTAGGTAGATACACTCCTTGGAGAGATCAGTCATGGGAGAGCAGAAGGGGTGTGTATGCACAGGGAGACAATTCAGGGGCCAGGAGTGCATGGGAGGGAGGGACACAGGAAGAGGTAACTATAGGGAAGAAGTGGGAAGAGAGCTGTTGTATTGCGGGAAATTGCACTCAATGTCATAAGACAAAGTGTATGTGAACTGCTATATGGAAAATGAATTTGCTTTGTAAACTTTCACCCAAATCACAATAAAATTTTTTTTAAAAATGTAAAACTAAAATCAGAACTAGTAAATTTAGGGGCTGAGAGGGCAAAATAAAAAAGGGTTCTACATAATGCAATTTCTTCATCTTTCATAGAAAGCAATAGATGAGTTTAAAGAGCAAAATTTTCATTATATAAGTAATAACTTGAACTTCAAATTCTTAATAACCATTGTTCTTCACTTCAGAGGGATCCTTTAGAAATAAACTTAGCTCATGGTGAAACTATTAATTCAGCTCTTCTTTCAGTCACCTCATATTCGTGTGAAAGCTGGACAATGACTAATGAAGACTGAAAAAGACTCGATGCATTTGAAATGTAGTGTTGGTGAAGAATAGTAAATACAGAATGGACTGCCAGAAGAACAAATATGGCTTAGAAGAAGTACAGCAAGAATACTTTGTGGATGGTGAGATTTCATTTCATATACTTTGGACATGTTATCAGGAAGGACCAGACCCTGGAGAAGGATATCATGTTTCATAAAATAGGGATCAGAAAAAAAAAAAAAAGAAGGCGGCACTCAACAAGATGGACTGACACAATGGCCACAACCAAAACCCAAACCAAACTCACTGCCATGGAATCGGATCCAACTAATAGCAACCCCTCCTTGGGTTTCCGAAGTGGTTTCACTACAGAAGTAGATTGCCTAACCTTCCTTCTGAGGAGTGGCTGGTGGGTTTGAATCGTCAGCCTTCTAGTTAGCAGTGAAGAGGCCTTAGGCACTATGCCACCAGAGCTCCTATGACTACAACAGTTGGCTCAAATATCACAACTATTGGGAGGATGGTGCAGGATGAGGCAGTGTTAGAACCGACTTGACAGCACCTAATAACAACACCTTATGTTCCAGTTGCTGTACAAGTATTTCTATTTATGTATTATCTTCCTATATGTATGCATGCATAGACAGATATCTGAAATTACCTTTTCGCAATGGTAACAGTGTATGTTTTTGGATGAAGATGTCTGGAGTAACTTTTATTTTAGTCATTTATGGGAGCTCTGGTTGCATAGTGCCTAAGGCATTTGATGGCTAACCAGAAGGCTGGCGGTTCAAACACACCAGCCACTCCTTGGAAAGAAGATTGAACTATCTACTTCCATAGAGACACCGCCTTGGAAACCCAAGGAGGGGGTCGCTATGAGTAGAAATTGACTTGACGGCAGTGAGTTTGGTTTTTTATATTTTATTGCTTCACATTTCATAATTTTTATGTATTATTTTTACAAAAATGTGTCATTATTGTACCCTTAATACAAAAATAAGATCATTATTAAAAACAACAAACTTTCTAAATTTTCAAGAGCATATATGCAAAGAATGCAATCTACAGCCAAACCAAAAAAACCATTTCCCTTTTTTGGAAAGCTAAGGGTAAAACAGCAACAATGCCTTTAATTATTTGAATAAACAAGCTAGTTAAAGATGAAAAAAAAAAAAAAAAGATTAGTATACAATTATTCCCCTTCTGTGAACTGATATTTATTATTAAGTGCTTTCTTTTGTAAGCATTAACCTGTTGACACTGGGACCATTCTGACTTGCAGCAACCCCACAGGATAGAGTAGAACTGCCTCAGGATTTTTCAAGGCTATCATCTTTACAGAAGCAGGCTGCCGCGTTTTTCTCCCCAGGAGCTGCTGGTAGTTCCAACTGCCAACATTAAGGTTAATAGCCGAGTGCTTACCTTCTGCGCCACAGCATACAAAAAAGGAAAATGAGTGAAATGCTGAAATCATGGGCTGTATGCTATAAGGACTCAACACTTTTCTGTTGTCTAAATTGGACGAAGGATTTCCTTTTGGACTAGATCCACTGTAGATGGTATTTGGAGCTAATGTTAGAGCCTAAATTGCATTGTTCTCCAGAGAGCTATATGCTCTTCTCAAAACTGGCCCACTGCTACCTGCAAACCACTATTAACTGTGACCCTGATCAAGAACATTGGTAATATTTTTAAATTACTAGTTTTCTGTATGTATTTTAGTGCTATAGACTGTCATTCCAAATTAAGACTTGCTTTTAGTATATCATTTCACACTGTTGATCTATAATTCATTACCTGAGCACACACAGGGAGGCAGTGTTGTAAGTTCTACGATTCTACACTGGTAAACTACTTGGTGAAAAGTGTGCTTTGGATTTCTAATGTATATAATTATATTTAAAAGCAAGCTAGGCTTAATTTTGTGCCTTATTCTTTGAAAATATGGATTTGTTATCTGGAAGTTGCAGTTGATGACGTTTTTATATTGTATTAATATGTTTGCTGCTGCTACCGAGAGCTTTGTCAAGCAAGTTGGAGATGGAGGGAGGTTAGTTCCTGTTCCAAGCCTCAGTGAAGCTGATAAATACCAACCCCTAAGTCTGGTGGTGAAAAAGAAGCGATGCTTTCTGTTTCCTAGATATAAATTTACCTCAACACCTTTTACACTCAAAGATATTCTCTTAGGAGACAGAGAAATTTCAGCTGGTAAGTTTAAATGTCAGTTTGGGAATAACTACTCATTCAACTATATTATGAGTAACCTAAACACAGGTTATATTATTACTAATATTAGTAATACTGACACTCGTTTTCATTGATAAGAGCAATTTTTATTACAATAGTAGTAATAAGATTAACAATGCCTGGAACTTATATAACATTTCATATTGATGAAATAACTTTCAAATCTATCAATTATTTTCTAAATTGTTTGTAATCAAATTAATATAAAATATGACAGTCCATAAAATAGAGGCATTATTTGGTCTACCTATCTCACAGAATGAGGTGTTGGAGATACAAGTAATTTGTAATTATTTATTACAATTCAGTTATTACAGTCGGTAAACTAAAATGTATTTTATGGGCTAGATTAAATAACTGGTAGTTGACATTTTAACAAATTATTTCTTATAAACACTTGCTTATTCTCCAGCCATCCAGTGAACCTTAATTCTTCAGAAGTTCTGCTTACCAAAGAGGGAATTGGAGTTCATTTTAAGAATTCTGGCTATTTATTTCTTTCTGTTGTCAAATTAATTGAATTGTTATTTTAAATCTTGGTTTAAATTGTTGGGTATTTATTAACATTTGGGTATTTGAGTCTTAAATTAGAAATTAACATGTTACTGAATATAATTTACCTTAGAGGAATTCAAGACATTTAAAATACACTAATTTCCTTTTCTTTAAGGTATTTCATCTTATCAATTACTGAATTATGAAGACGAGTCAGATGTTTCCCTTTATGGAAGGCGAGGCAACCACATTGTGAATGACGTTGGGGTTAACGTTGCCGGATCAGATTCCATCGCAGTAAAAGCTTCATTTGGTGTCGTAACCAAACAGGAAGTTGAAGTCTCAACACTACTCAAGGAAATTACTACTCGGTTATTATAATAATCCTTGACATATTTCAACGTTTCCATTACATATTTTAACTATATGAATTTCACTACAAAACTTAAAACATTGGGCTGTATTTTCTAGTGTAGTTTATTTTATTTGAAGCACTACATATTAGTGTATCCAAACTTTGCATGATGGTAGATATGGAAAATCACTTAGCTTAGGGAGTTTTTAATTGTTCTAGAAAATTGCTTTGGCTCTTCACACATTTACTAAATTATTAGATTGAAAGAATACAGGAACCTACCTGCAGCAAATGTACTAAAGGATCTTCTTCAACAGAGTGCTGTAATAAATGTACTTTAAGAAGATAGAAAGGAGAAACAGATTATTAAATCTCTTTTGGCATACTTTATGCTTTGTTTTAAGCTTGCCTTGCCTTTCCTTTTTTTTTTTTTTTTAAAAAAATGGTGGTACAAACATACACAATACATTCACCAATTCTACAGTTTCTACACATACAATTCAATGACATTGATTACACTCATCATGTTGCACAACCCTTCACCCTGTCTTTTTCTTATTGCTCTACCACTGTTAAGTTAACTAGTGCTCCCCATGTGAAAACTCCCCGTTGCTCATTCCTCCTTCCTTCCCTTCCCTGGTAATCACTAATAAGCTTTGGTGTCTATATATTTGTTTATTTCATATATGTGAGATCGTATAGTATTTGTCTTTTTGTAGTTGCCTGACTTGGCTGAACATAATGTTTTCAGGGTTCTTCCATGTTGTGGTGTGTATCAGGACTTCATTTCTCTTTATGGCTGAGTGATAATCCATTGTGTGTATGTGCCATATTTTGTTTATCCATTCATCTATTGATGGACATTCTGGTTGTTTCCACCTTTGAGCTATTGTGAAAAGTGCTGCATTGGACATTGGTATACATGTGTCTGTTTGTGTTCCTTCTTTCTCTTCTCTGCCTTACTTTTAGTTAAAATGGACTATGAAATAATAGCACATGAAGCAAAAACTTTATTGATTCTGTGTAATTGAAAGTTATAGACTCTTGTGAATGTCTTCTTCTTTATTTTAGAAAAATTAATTGTGACCACAGCCTAATCCGTCAATCGAGGAACAGCAGAAAGGCAGTACTATGTGTGGTCATGGAAAGCATTCGAACCACACGGCAGTGCTCATTGTCTGTGCATACTGGAATTCGTGGGGATTCAATGCGGGTAAACCACACTCATTAGGCTTCTATCACTAACTAAAATAGAATTTTAAAAATTACTCAATTTCTAGTGGCACTTGTAACTGCATATATTTTTGACATAAAGCTACAATAGTATAGGTTTGCACAGTAATGTTTTTAATCAGAATATGAAAGAAAAGTCCAAAAACTTGGATTCTGATCATGTGTAATGTAATGCAATGAAAACATTAATCCTTGTAAAATAATGTACATACTGGAGGTCCTCATTTTACTATGTAAATGGTGTTTTAAGCATAAAAATCGAGTGCTTAAGTTGAATTATTTTTAAGTGATAGAGTTTATACTTTGAAAATTTATAAGTAGTGTCAGAGCAAAACAAAACTGTAAGTGTTTAAAATTATAAACAGAGTTTATTATAACAAAAGAGTGTTTTGCAAAACAGGGAAGCAGAGTTAAAACATTTGACAAAATACTCTCTGGAGATACAAAGATATGGAGGTTTATACAGATGAAAACCACAATGGGGGAGGTATAGTTGGGGTATACTTGTTTGGATAATATTTGTAAAGTTGCAGGTGCTAGAATCTTGGTTGACCAGCTCTGCAGGAGTTTGTTTTCTTTGTCAGGGTGGCTCTAGGTGACAAAATTTTGGCTGGCTATAAGTTTCCAGAAACAGTTTTAAAATATAGATACTGGGTGCTATAGAGAGCGGTTTGAGGCATATTCTGAGAATCAAACAGCCACCAAAGTCACATGTTTCTTGGTACATTATATCACCTAGGCCAAGGGAATGATAATAGTTAGATCTGCATTATACTGGTGGACTCTGCTAAAATATGAAAGCGGAGTTTGTTGAAAGAGTAGAACAATCACAAATGAAAATGCTAAGTATTCTTATGCTTAAGGAAAGAAAAGTGTTTTAATACAGAAGAGCTATAAGCATGTCTCTAGCATTAGTTTATTCTAACTATGAATGCGTCTCTCACAACTTGTTTCTTCAATACCTCTGTGAACAAGAAGAATTGTATTTTTCTGTAGAACTGCTTGTTTCTAGGTCAAAGGTACAGGTGAAACCTTACAGAAGTGACAGGCTTATCAATTATGACAGAAAAGTACAAGATGGAGTCACTTACGATGAAGACATTTGGCTCAGACCTTAGAAGTCTTAGTCATATCAAGAATCTTAGTTTTTAGAATGCTCTTCCTGAGCTGAATTTATGATTTAACATTAAATTAAAATAATTACTCTAAAATATTGTCAGTGGCCAAACATCTTTCATTCAGTGTTAAAACCTTTTTAAAAATCTTTGAACATTATTTGTGTTTAACTTTCAGCTCAATTTTAATATTGTTTGTCCTTGTCAGTCAGTGACACCTAATAATGACTTGATTGGCTTTATTAAAACTAATAGATAGAAAGAAATGGTTCAATGATAATTTTTCAAGTCTTTACAAATAAATATTCTGTTTAGTGGGTACATTCAGATGCCCCCCAAATTCTGATTAAAGTTGGACTACTTGGGAGACATGAATTGAAATTTACTTGAAAATAAGTTGGCGATTGCTTTGGAAAGCTGCTGAAATAGCTTTATATATTGTGTTCTTTGGATGGTAGGCAGGGTAGGCTGAAAAGCTTCAACTATACCTCATAACACAGTTGCTTACCAGTATTTGCAGCTGGAAGAAAAACCTAGAAAGCATTTCCATTGTGATAGTACTAATATCATTGACTCCAGTACCAAAATAAGTGAGAAAGCGGTAAAGTATTTCTTTAATATAGATCATGAATCCCATTTTTACCTCTGCTATAAACAGTTTAAATTCAAATAGGATAATTCATTACTTTGAGAGGTTATTTATTTATTTGTATGATTGTTGTTGTTGTTGTTATGTGCCGTTGAGTCGGCCCTGACTCATAGCGACCCCTCTTGGGTTTCTGAGGCAGTATCACTACGGAAGTAGATTGCCCAACCTTCCTTCCGAGGAGTGGCTGGTGGGTTTGAACTGCCAGCCTTCTGGTTGGCTGTCAAATGCTTTAGGCATTACACTACCAGAGCTCCTTGTATGATTGTAGGAGATGTTTCATTTTTCTAAAAAACAGTCCTTACATGTTAACATGTTACGTCCCTTAAAAATTTTATTTATTTATTTCTTATAGTTTCATTTTATGGATGAACAAAATCCCAGAGGAAGAGACAAGGCTATTGTTTTTCCAGCTCGTACAACCATAGCTTTCAGTGTTTTTGAACTTTTCATTTACCTGGATGGTGTCTTTGGTGAGTGAACGATTTGCATGAAACACTGAAATGATTATTATTTTTTAAAATTTAATTGGATTCTTCCTCTCACTCTCTTTCTGTCCCTGCTTGTGGATGTCGGTAATTATAGAAGAGTGATACCTTCAGCATTGTCATTCTTGTGCATGGATGAAGTATCTGTAAAAGATCTTAGCTTCTCTAAATTTCCAATCTTTCTTTTCTGTAGACTCCTCGCCCACCACTCCCATCTAAAATGCAATCCATTGACAGTATTCCTCACCCTTCTAGGAGACATAATAAGTGACCTACTAATAGGTAGTTTTTGATGGTGGCAAATAGAGAAGTAGGTAGACAGTAAGATGCCTGAAGGTATCAGGGTACCTAAGCTAGGACATCTTGGTGTAAGAACTTTTCCTACTTCGGTTTTACTTATCATTGACCCAACTTCCCTTTGTGGCCCGCTCCAAATTACTTCAAAAGTACAAGTGCTTCATAAAAATTACCATCTTGTGTTGTATCTCAGTGAAGCTCACTTTAGATTTGTACATTTCACATGTTCAATTTACTTCTTATTACTACAGTAACAACAACAACAACAAAGTCTTTTTTCATTAAACATTTATTGACAATCAGCTATAGGCAACAGATGGTGCCAACAGGTTTCACAGTTAATGTGCGTGATGCTAACAGAAAGGTTGGAGATTTGAACTCACCCAGCAGTACTTTGGAAGAAAGGTCTGGTAATCTACTTCCAAAAAAATTAGGCACTGAAAACTCTCTGGAACACAGTTCTACTCTGACACACATGGGTCCCCATGAGTCAGAATCTACTTGATGGCAACTAGATTTTTGGTTTGTCTCTAAGCAATATGCTAGCCTTATAAATACTACTTTTACTTGAAATATACCACCAAAACAAGCTTCCTCCCTTAGTTACCCATGCATTCTTGATAATACTCCCTTAGCTAGAACATAAGAATGAAAATGGAAGTAATAATGGACATTCTCCACTGCTTAGGGCACTCAATGATCCCAAAGTTCACTGGCTGCCAGGAAGTTAGGGATTGGAGAGTCCTGGGGCCCAAGGAAGGAGCTCTGGCAGTTCAGTGATTAAGGCAATCAGCTGCTAACCAAAAGGTTCATACTCACCAAGTTGCTCTGTGGGAGAAGAGGTAGTCTACTTCCATAAATATTTACCGCCTAGGAAACCCAAATGGTGTCACTATGACTCCAAATTGACTTGATGGCAGTGAATTTTTTTTTTTTTTAGGAGGTCACATTATTAACTTAGACTTGGCATTTAAACAAACAAAAACATATCAATAGCCCTTTCTTAACAGGGAACAGAGAGGAGGGGAAAATGAGTTTTGAACCTGTCAAGCTTGCTTTCTGTCTCTGAAAATGTGATAGAGCAGAATAAGAAATAAATATTCAGGCTTTGCTGAAAGTAGTCAGATTTCTAATTACTCATGATTTTT